GATCGATTACAGATCGATTATGTAAAGATCGATTATAGATTGACTAGGTAAAGATCTATTATATATTGATTATGTGAAGAATGATTATAGATAATTTCTTTAAAGATGAATTATAAATAGATTATGTAAAGATCAATTATAGATTGTGTAAGGATTAATTATATCTAGATTGGGTAAAGAGTGCTTATGTAAAGATTGATTATGTAAAGATCGATTTTAGATCAATTATGCAAAGATCAATTATAGATTATGTACAGATCAATTATTTATAGATTATGTAAGGATTGATTATAGACCATGTTAAGATCGTTTATAGATCAATTATGCAAAGATCAATTTTAGATTATGTACAGATCAATTATTCATAGACTACGTAAAGACCGATTACAGACTATGTAAAGATCAATTATAGATAGATTTTGTAAAGACCAATTATAGATTATGTACAGATGGATGTACAGATTAATTGTAGAAAAGGAATAAGACTTTCTCCAAAAATAAAAATTATGCTCTTTCAGTATTTTTCTTTAGTGCATATTTTCGTTTTAGCTTCTAAAAAGACTTGCTGGATAGACCCTTTGGCTCCTATAGGCTGAATAAAATTAATTCCAGCAGCATAAGGTTTTCCTGTACAGTATAGAGTACATACAGAAAGGAAATCTTATCTATATTTTCCTTGTTCCTTCTCTCCACTGCACAAAAACAAGCAGAGTAACATTCCTGCACTTTTTCCTAATACGTCAAAAGAATCTGAGAAACAGGGTCATATTCTCTCTCTCTCTCTCTCTTTCTCTGTAATTTCGCAGAGGCTGGAGATTCACTTAGACCCGCAGAGCATCTGGACTTTCTCCAGGGTGAACACAGCTACTTTACGGCCTGCATCAGCACTGGGATCAACAAGAAGCCATGAAGTAAAGCTGACCTGTTCTCAACCAAAACACTGACTGATACGCCGATTGGGACATTTACAGAGACACTGATTTCACCCTCAAATATACTATTATGTTCAATGTCAAATAATACCACAGGGCATTAGAAGATGGTATTAAGCTTTCATCTTGATAAACTTCAGGAATTTGAATGACATTATTTGCATACATAAATCTCTCACTCCCCCATAGCTTAGAGAACTGATGTTTGCCTTGTTCTTTCAACTACAAATTTGTGTTAAAGTAGTAATTATTATTTGTTTGTGTGTAGTATGTAGTTTATTAACAATAAAGCTTGATATATAAAATTTCATCCAAATGTATTTTAAGAAAATATTATTAAGCAAATTTATTTTAAATGTCTGCAAAAAAAAGCGTAGAAAATAATATATATAAAATATACTAATCCAAAGATCAATTATAGATTATCTAAAGATCAATTATAGATTATCTAAAGATTAATTATAGATTATGTAAAGATCAATTATAAATAATGTAAAGATCAATTATAGAATATCTAAAGATTAATTATAGATTATGTAAATATCAATTATAGATTATGTACAGATCAATTATAGATTATGTAAAGATCGATTATAAATAATGTAAAGATCGATTAGAGAATATGTAAAAATCGATTATAGATTATGTAAAGACCGATTTTAGATAGATTAAGTAAAGATCAATAATAGATTATGTAAATATCGAATAAAGATTATTTAAGGATTGATTTAAGGTAAATTATGTAAAGATCGATTATAGATCAGTTATTTACAGATCGATTATAGATAGTTTCTGTAAAAAATTGATTATAGATTATGTAGATTAATTACATAAGGATCAATTTTAGATCCAATTATGTAAAGATTAATTATAGATTATGTAGAGATAAATTATAACTTATGTAAAAATCGATTATAGATCCATTATGTAAAGATCGATTATAGATTATGTAAAGATCGATAATAAATCAAATATGTAAAAATCGATTATAGATCCATTATGTAAAGATCAATTATAGATTATGTAAAGATCGATAATAAATCAAATATGTAAAAATCGATTATAGATCCATTATGTAAAGATCAATTATAGATTATGTAAAGATCGATAATAAATCAAATATGTAAAAATCGATTATAGATCAATTATGTAAAGATCGATTATAGATCGTTTCTGTAAAGCTCGATTATAGATTATGTACATATCGAGTATAGATTATGAAAAGATTGATTATAGATAATGTAAAGATCAATTATAGATTATGTACAGATCGATTATAGATTACATAACTGATTATAGATTAATTTTGTCAAGATTGATTTTAGATCGGGTGATGTGGTGGCGCAGTGGGTAGAACGATCGCCTCACAGCAAGAAGGTCACTGGTTCAAACCTCGGCTAGGTCAATTGCCATTTCTGTGTGGAGTTTACATGTTCTCCCTGTGTTCACGTGGGTTGTTTCCAGGTGCTCCGGTCTCCCCCATAAGTCCAAAGACATGTGCTATAGGTGAATTGGGTATGTTAAAACTGTCCGTAGTGTATTTGTGTGAATGAGAGTGTATGGATATTTGCCAGTGATGGGTTGCAGCTGCAAGGGCATCCGTTTCATTAAACATATGATGGATAAATTGGTGGTTCATTCTGCTGTGGCCACCCCAGATTAATAAAGGGAATAAGCCGCAAAGAAAATTAATGAATAAATGAATGATTTTAGATCAAGTATGTGTGTGTGTGCGCAGATACTGTAGAAGGATGGATGGATGGATGGATGGATAATAAAGAATATACCATTTGACAAAAAATATCAAGGTTTATAGAAACCACATAGAGTTTGATTTCATGTCATCTGCTAGCATGCTAGTAACTTTCCAAATACTGTAAATGCTTAGGATCTGTGTAAAACCAACTGTCAATACCATGTCACAACATATTGAACATTTTTGAGTTTGTACCCTCCGGGATGTTTGTACGTGACAGTCGGCCAGCACAGGCTCGACCCCCACAGTCCACTGCTTTCAGAGCAGAAAAGCAGCCTTTGGCAGTTTTCTGGGTCTCTGCACTGCATTGTCTTCATGAAACAGCTGAGCAGAGAGAAGTGCTGCAACTCAGCGCTCCTGCAATCATTCCCTGTGGACGGAGACTCTGCATGCACTGCATCAGGAGCTGAGCGCCTACTAAACTACTGCTTTAGTGGAGCAGGCCGACTTAAAAACTGATGCTAATTTCATTTTCATTTTTTTATTCTAACACTTTGTTTTTTTTAAAATGTCCCTATACTGCATGAATGTTTCCAACAAAACTTATTAAATGAATGTATATTGATGTTAAATATATAGTTATGTTTGTAACTTACAGGAATAGGGGTGAGTTGTGCATAAATCAAAGAATTGAAAAAGCTGTCAGATGTTCAAAATTTATAAATATAATAATATATTTTAATATATTAATTAATTTAATAATATTTAATAAATGATAATATATAATATAATAAATGATATTATAAAAATATTTATATAATAGTAAAAATATATATTTATATAATAATAAAAACAACACATATAATAATACATAAATTATATATTATAAATATCTAAAAATGACTTGTTATTTTGTTTTTTTTTTGGAGCACGTGGATGCTATATAATACAGTGAAGGTATTGGTTTTTAGGGCGGCATGGTTGCACAATGGGCAGCGCTGTCACCTCACAGCAAGAAGTCAGTTTGCATTTCTGTGTGGAGTTTGCATGTTCTCCTCATGTTTGCGTGACATTCCTCCAGGTGCTCTGGTGTCCCCCACAGTCCAAAGAAATGAATGGTAGTTGAATTGGGTAAGCTAAATTGTCCGTGGTTTATGTCCTGATTCTCCAGGCTGGGGGTTGAGCGTTAGGCTAACGACCCACCTTGTAAAAAATTAGATGTTATGAAACACTAACATGGTGTGGCTAAATATCAACTTCGATATAAACGGCCCTGGGGGTGAGTAAGTAAGGTATTGTTTTTTTGTCTTTACTTAAATGTTTTAGTTCAGCTTACTTGATCATTTAAAGGTGCTTCAGTTTCCTAATTAATTATTTTGAACTAACTAATTATTTTGAATCAACAGTACTGAAGTTTACTTTATTAAAAAGTTGTAAATACAAACCGTTTTAAGTTACACTCACTTAAAATTAATACACTACTTTATTTAGAAATTTCAAGGCAATCGGTTACAATTTTAAGGTCAAACTTATTATATTTTACAGCAGCACATTATTAATTTGTATGCTGTAATTTACATGACCAATCCAGGCAACTGCTTTAAACTACAAAAAGATCAGTGAAAGTTATACTTTTTAATATCGACAAGTTGTCGAAGCAAGAGATCCAGTTCCCACAATGCAAATAAAAAAGTAAAATGTGAAATAAATCCCATGAATCATCAAATATTAGAAAGTGTTAATGGGATAGTTTACCACAAAACAAACAAAAAAAAAATCACTATTAACTCACCCTCAAGTGGTTCCAAACCTTTACAGAATAATTTTTTCTGTGGAAAACAAAAGAAGATATTTTGAAGAATGTTAACCATTGACTTCCATAGTAAAAAAAAAAATAAAAATATTATGGAAGTCAATGATTACAGGTTTATAACATTATTCCAAATATTACGTTTGTGTTCAACAAAAGCAATAAAACTTGAACAGGTTTGTAACAAACGAAGGCTGAGTAAACGATGACACAATGTTTATAACTGGCTGCACTTGAATACTTGTTAATCACTTTAATAACCAGCATTTTCAGTGCATATTAATAAAACAATTGTCATAATCATTTCAAACATGCTTGTTGTTTTGTGGGAAACAATGAGAAGGGCATTACAATAGATAAGAAAATAGATGTCATGGTAAAACGTTTCATTGGTAGTGTATTATCTCAGGAAACATCAAAGCAAAAAAAAAAAAGTACATCGCTAATAGGGTTGGAAAACTAGTTAAACAGGTTATAAGTCATCTCAAACACACCTGTTTACTCTTCTCTTTCACTTCCACACAATTCCTCCACATACACCACAACCACAGAGCTCAGGATAATGGCAGACAAGAGTTTGGAAGACCTCGACCCCTTCACCTGCCCCATCTGCCTGGATGCCCTAAAAGACCCTGTGACGATTCCCTGCGGACACAACTACTGCATGAGCTGCATTAAACACTACTGGGAGAAAAACGGCAGCAGAGACACGGGTTACACCTGTCCCGAGTGCAGAAAAACCTTCTCACCTCGACCTACGCTCAACAAAAACACCATGTTCGCAGAAGTGGTGGAGCGCTTCAAAAACACGGGCCTTCAGGACACTTCACCTGCACGCTATATGACACCTGTACACACGGAGAGACAAAACTGCACTTCACAAAACCCCAAAGATTCAAGGATACTCCCAGAAATGGACAAGACTCACCTGAGGTATGACAGTCCCAGAGAAAAGCACACGGTTATTGTTGTTGCCGGAGAGCCCAAAGGAAATATTTGTTCACGCCACAGAACAGCTCCTGGTGTTTGTTCTCAGTTCTGTGCGTCTTGTTTTGATGAAGCCTGGCGGGAAAATAAAGCGTTTTCGGCGGCACCTCAGATGACACAAAAGCTGGAGAGCAGGACGACTCTTGTCAAACACGAGCACAGGAGTAGAGATAAAACTACTGGACGCGACAGGAAAACATCCAAAAAGAGGGTTCATGCAAGTGGACACAGGAGTGGACATACTCGAGGTGCTAGAAAAGGGCGCGAAAGTCATCGGCGTAAAAGAAGTGGACACAGAAGGGGCTCTCATGAACACAAACATCATGCTGGACACAGAAAGAGGAGACTGGGAGTATTGGTCATGGCAGGGAATGGCACTCAGAGAACCATTCTGGATAAAATTGGATTGTAGGCTGGGATTCAAGGGTGCCATTTACTGCATTGGTTTAATAACTTAAATTGTTCTCCACATTTACATAGTAGGTTTATGGCTTTGATAAGTAAAAAAAAAATCTCCAGAAACAGTTTTAAAAGGTTATTTATTACTTTCATAGAGTAATTCATTATACCCATAGAATCAAAAGGTCCATGATTGACCATATATGGCTCGTGTCGTGAATATTAATGAGCTCAGCTCTGAGTGCAGCTCTTGCGCACGCACGCACGCACGCACGCACACACACACACACACTATGATGTAACTTTACACTGACAAAAAATTAACCCTTAACCTATTTTGCTCACCAGATCTGTTGTGGATAAAGGCTAAATTATAATTAAACCTGACAAAATATAGTGATAGAGATGTACGACATTGAAATTTGAAGCTATAGTGAAAGAAAACACAGCCAGAAATTAATATCAATCTCTGCGTGAACATATGGCAGTTGAGCTAATGTTAAGTGAATTGACACCATTCGGCAGTCTTCATGTGTTTGGTTAAACACACGCATGTAGACTGTACAATAAACATGATAAATTAACAAAAGATTTAACTAAACATACCTTATACCTCTTCAGAGTGGAGATGAATAAATGTATAATCTGTAAATCTTGCATTTTGCGTCCTGGGGCCAGTTTGAACGTACCTCGTGCTGACGTTGCACAGTAACGCACAGTAAACTAATTGGCGCTCGCGTTTTCAAAATAAAAGTCCCACACACGTAGTAAGTGAAATGCTTAGAAAAAACTTGAGAGAGAAAAATTATTGTTTTAGTCTCATTAGAAAACGTTGTTTCTAATCAAACACAGCATAAGACGCGCAATATTAATGATCTCATAGCTTTCTTTGTGATCCAAGTGCTTGATGACATGCTCGTCAGGTCTGGATGAACAACCCAAATTTGCAAACATTATAATATATAATATTATTATAATATATTTGTTTATCAAATAATATTTAAGGTCAAAATTGTATTCTTAACTCTCACCATATAAAATATGGTAGAAAACAATGTTTTATATATATATATATATATATATATATATATATATATATATATATATATATAGTTTATAGGTATAATTTATACTTCTAGCTATTTATTGGGGGGCCCCAGATTTCCTGGATCCATAAGTGGCCGCTTACCTTACTTATTGGTTAAATCCACCCCAGTTGGAGTTTATATGAAAACAAGAAATCTGTGGTGTCTGAGGCTCACAGTATGCCCATTTCCATATACTGACATTTTATTATTCTACTATGCCTGGGTATACCCAGATTTCATTATAGGGCATCTTTAACACTTGAAGTGTTGCAGATGCTGTGATGATATGTTGGTTCTAGATTCACAGTTCTAAAACTGTGAACCAAAAACTCACATCACATTTCTTTTATGAACCACAAATTGCTTTTCTGCCACATATTTGATGTGCATTGATTAGCACAAATGTTTCATGATGTTTGTTATTAAATGATGAGGAAAAAACAACAACTTGTACATTCAATTTTATAGAATGCAGCTATCAGAATGTGAGGCTAAATTACAAAACAATTTGCTTGATTTTGAGACTTGATGGGATAGTTTACTTAAATGTAAATTCTGCCATCATTTGCTCAGCCTTCACTTGTTCAAAACCTATTTCTTTTGTTGAACACAAAAGGAGATATTTTATAGAATGTTGATAGCTGGCAGTGGCACCTATTGACCATAGAAGTCAACGGGTGTCACTGACCAGCATTCTTCAAAATAACTTGTTTTGTGTTAAACAGAAAAAATAATAAACCCCCATAAGGGTTTCCAAACTATCTAGTACTCAGATTCCAGTTCATTATTGCCTTTTCTAAATGTTGTTAATCATTGCACTCATAATCCTCTATTTCTAGTCTGTAAGTTTCACATCTGGCACTGGAAGTCAATTAAAAACCAACTCTTATGTGATCTCTTTGTTAGTGTGCTATGTCATTTAAATAAGTGTAAATGTTGACACCCAAAGCTTGGTGTGAACAAAACAGGATGAGTCTGCTTCCAAACTGACTCTGATGGGGTTTAACTGAAAGCTGAACACAACACAATCATTTAAATGAGCCATAAAAAGACTTGGTTACAATATGAGACCCTAAAAAGGACAGAATAAAGAAGCATACCCGTTTCTTTCTTGTCATGTTCATGATGCTGCCATTTACGGTTCAAGACCGGCATCAGAAACTCATCTCCTTGCTGCAGATCTTCATTTATGTGTGATGGAGGAATTCCTAGAGTGGTTTTGACAGCTTTACAGATTTTATACGGTTGTCATGGGCTCTCAACTGGTAAACATTTCACATTTATACACATAAAATGACTGCATTTAGCCCAGCTCACAGCGTTTTTCTTTTTCCCAAACGACAAGATTGAACACAATTTTCCTTCATGTTTTCAAGTTGTCCATGCCTGTGGAAACAACCCAACTGTGAATCAAAAAGATGACAGAATGTGGGGTAGTTAATAAATTGCAATACACAAGCTAAATTGTGCATTCACTGTTGATTCAAATTACGAGCAACCTTAAATTCACCCATAATGTAGGTAAGAGGGTAAACCAACGTAATTTCAACAGTAAATCAACAATGATAGTAAAATAAGGTGACAATATTAATGTTGATGCAATTTCAAAAGTTATTCGACCATTGTACCAGACATTGTTTCAACTTTAATTTAAAATTAAAATTCTTACCAAGGAAGGTCTTAATGTTATTTCCTTTTGGATTTTTTTATTGATTTTTATAAAAATTAGTACTTTTTTCATATTTTCCAAGTAAAATGTCCTGTTATGACTTCAAATAAAAAAAAAAATCTACTTGTTCGCTGATAATCATGTTGAGTTAAGTAAAAAAAAAAAAAAAAAAGATTTAATCGTACAACATCCAGCTTAATCTTATGAGGAAACAACTATTTGACATTCTCAAAAAAGTAATTCTTCTGAAAACGTAATTTTTAAAATGTGGTGTGCATCCAAACTCCACCCTTAATCCCAACAATCATTGGGAATGAGTAAATAATACTAAAATGAGACCATACAAATTGTATGTGTACTTTTTGGGTGTATTTTTAAGGTTTGGTTGTGTTTATAAGATGAAAAGCAACATGTGCTCACGCTTCACTTGAATAAAATCTGGTTATTCTTTCATACATCTTACTTTGATTATATACTGCTTCTCAGCTAACATGAAAATGACTCTCATATTCCAAGGTTTCTCCGAAAGATCGCCCTCAAGAGGCTCTGATTGGTCAGCTAACATAATGTGCTGTGATTTGTGGATCGGCTCCATGTCACCAGGAAAAGCGTCAGGCCTCTAATAGCATGTTCTGTGCCTCTGCTGTGTTACTACTGTCAGTCAGAGTAGCTGTTAGGCGCATCAGTTGGACCCTGAATCAGACAGAAAATGAAGAGCACACAGCTAAACCTCACGTCTGTTATCTAAAATAAAACCTGACAAGTGTCTTCAGAATAAGCGTGTGTAAGTACTATGAAACATTCACATATCTTTTGCGAGTTTGTTATTTGAGATGTAGAATGCAGGGAATGCGGCCGCATAGAGACACTGCAGCGCTGATGAAGATTGTGACTGTTTACAGCAGTTTGACTTAAATTGAAATTGTAGCTAGTGCCAAACAGCATTTCCTGTTGTTTACATCCTTGTTTTTATCCCCGCTACAGCATACTTTTAAGGTAACCATAGGAATTGTGCATGTAATAGATCAACAGCCGCGTTTCCACTATTGCGCCTAGAGCGATCGAACCAGTGCGAGCCAAGGCCAATCGCGTTTCCACTATCACTTCCGGGGCCTAATTGGGCCACAGCAGGGCTTTCTCGGGGCTAGCAGCCGGCATTTTTTCGGCCCGAAAACCTTGGGCCAAAGAGGGCCAGCTGGGGCTTCGGGGCAAAATGAAAGGAGAGGCGGACACTAGTTTTCTGATCGCACACCAGTACATGCGCGAAACAAAAAAAATAAATAAGGGAAAGAAAACATCTAGCCTTATAGGCTGGGGTATTTTTGCATATGATCGCCCTTATGTTTCCCTTTTAAATGTAAGGCTGTTGCATAAAATAATAAAGTTTTAATTTATAAGTGACATTCTTTGCTGTGTCCTCCTTGATGTTTCAATAACGCATAACAATCTTTACACCATATTAAAGACACAGCAGACAGTAAAGGTTTTCAAGAGTTTTTGGCAAGTTTAAAAGGTGTGTTTGTGTGTGTTTAGATGCCTGTATGTGAATGTGAGACCAAGCAAAAGAGTGCTCCCTTCACAGCTCTGTTGATTCAGCGAGCCGCTTTTTTAAAAATGTATTTGTTTTGGAGATAATACACAATATAAATACAACAAAAAGACAAAAAACAAATGATGTGTCCACTTTTGCAGACTCAAAACAAGAGTGTCATATCTTAATAAAATAATATGCTATATTGAAATCATTTAAAGAATTACAAATATCGGATATAATAAAACTGCATTAAATAAATAAACCAATATAAAATAAACAAAAGCTAGCTATCACAATTTAGGTATATGCAATACATAAATCAAACCATTTTAAAGCCATATTAAACTTTAATTTTACAAGGGCCTCTTTGAGAAAAAGATTTTAGATATTTTCTTAAAACAGTAAACCACGAAGAAGGTTTGAACTATTAATAAAGTATTTGGATACAATGATATTAATCAATTCGTAAGAACAGAGCTTTTTTTGGGTGGGTGAAAGCAGAAACTAGGCTACCTTTTTTCTGGCTTCCAGTTCTGCACGGCGCCTCTTTACAAACTCATCGGAAAAAACTGTAAATACAAAATGTGTTCTGTGTCCTTAAACAAGTGTTTGGTTTTATATGATGTGGTAAAATTTGAAAATTAAATTTTAAATACATGTAGATCTTTATTAGTTGATAGCTGCTGAGCGCTATATTTTATTACTTGCTCTTATGTGCTGGA